GGACCACAGTCCGCTCCACACTGACTGCATAGAACCATCCTTTGATCCTAACACGGCCACAACGACCGTGCACCCCGTCCCATCCAGCAATGACCAACTGTCGCCTAGAGCCAGTATGGACGATGTAGTGGGTAATAGACAGGTAGGCACATTGTCAACATGCACATCAAGCGCAGCCACACCGGGGATATCATACAACAGCCAATCAATTGAGAGAAAGATAACAACGAAAATATATCGAGTAATGCATAAGGAAACGTGACAAAAATCTTAAATTAATGAGCATATGAAATAAGTTGTCTACAAACGAATCCGAGATAAGTTCACGAGGTTAGAAAGCATATTTTGCGGAAATGTCACAAACACGCAAATGTTCTCGAAATTAACTACAATTGGCTAAACGACTTGTGCAAGTTTATAGAAGAGAGTACAGGTAGATAATTATAGGAGAAAGAAAAGCATTAAAAGAAGAGTGCAAACCCAGCACCTGAAATAAAAAGACTTAGCATGCAAGCACGCAGTTAGTAAATCGAAAGAATCGTGCCTACAAACGCTGCGCCGGTTTTGCCTATGTTCTCTGCAGGACCCGTCGTCGCTTCGGTGGTGGTCCCGAGTGGCCTCGCTCATGGCTCACTAGGCCTGCCTGACTAAGGCACTCGTGACCTCATGTGCTACATCACCTTGCGCTCGATGTCGATGGAGTACAACCCATCGGTGCTTGCCGCTTCCGCACTTGCCGCTTCCTCTCTGTATGTATGAGGTCTTTCTCCCGCACTTCGGCAGCTGCTTTCGTGATTAGATCGCGCCATGCACGCTGATCAACCGCCTTCGATTTCCGTAATCTGCAATCAAGAGTAGAACGTGTGAGGCTCACTTTGATCATGTCCTGGTAATGTAACTTTGCTTTCCCTATATGCCGCTTCCCAATACTCAGCTGACCATATAAGAGTTGTTTCGGTATCCGCGTCGAATCCATACGGCTCACATGACCGAGCCACCTCAGGTGTCTCAGCAAAAGCATGCAGTCCACTGCATACATCTCACTGCGGCGCAGCACTTTCGTGTCATCAACTCTGTCGCCCCAACCGATGCGCAAAATCCGTCGCAAACATTGCTGATAGAACCGCTCGAGATATCGCACATCCTGCCGGTACATCGTCCACGTTTCACTGCCGTATAGAAGAACAGACAGCACCATGGATTTGTACACTATCAACTTCGTGCCAATGGTAAGCTGATGGTTGTCGCACACTCGGTACTCAAGCTTCCCGAATGCCGCCGCTGCTTTCTACACGCGGTTACGTAGCTCACTGTGTATCTGCTGATCAGTCGACATCACACTCCCAAGGTAGCAGAAGAGGGAGGTGGTTTCCAATACTTCAGCACCAATGCTGATTCGCGGCAATAATGAAGATTGCATCTCCGGTGAAGGCTGAGAGAGACAGACCGTTTTGCTTGTGTCGATGGTGAGCCCGCATTTGGCCGTTGTCGAAGCCAGAGCACTAGTCATGTGCTGCAACTCATCCGCGCTGTGTGCAAACAAAGCACAATCGTCAGCAAACAGCAACATACGGATAGTTGTCTCATAGACTAGAATTCTCGCACCGAAACGACGAATGTTCAGCAACTCACCATCAATACGGTGCTCCACACGAACACCGTAAGCAGAAGCAGCATCAAAAGCGCACGACATGATTGCATGAAGATATGTATTAAACAGGGCAGGAGCTAAGACACAGCCTTGTTTCACACCAGAGATAATTGCAAAGTCATCCGACGTCTCTCCACTCAGCTGCACCCTCGCTCGCATACCACTGTACAGACATACAATTAAACTTACAAACTTACGCAGGCACCAAAACTTACCCAACACCAGCCACAATGCCTCGCGGTTCACCGTATCAAATGCCTTAGTGAAATCAACAAAAAGCGAGTACAATGGCTGGTATCGTTCTCCGCACTTCTATTGCAACTGACGAGTAGCGAACACAATATCTATAATGCTGCGATCCGAACGGCATCCACACTGCTCTTCCGCCACTTTCGCTTCCACAACCTGACTGACGAGGTGGATGAGCAGGATTCGGGCAATCACCTTGCCCCCACAACTCAGCAAGTTGATGCCACAACATTGCAACATTATTTGCTCCCTTTACCCTTGTACAGTGGTAGCACAAGGGCACCCTTCAGCTCAGCAGGCACCTCCTTCTCAATCCATACGCGTTGCACCAAGTGGTGCAGCGCAGTCAACAACGCGGGTCCGCCGTGTTTCAATACTTCAGGCGGGATCCTGTCGGCCCCAGCACACTTGACGTTTCGCAGTTGAGTAAGTGCGCTCTGCGTCTCAGCCAGTGTCGGTGTGTCCGCCAGACTCGTCTTCACATCGTGCTGTTTCAGACCGTTCAATGTAGGTCAGTCGATCTCCGAACGGTTGTTCAAGAGACAGTCAAAGTGTTTCCGCCAGATCTGCATTTTGTCTGCTGTCTGTGTGCAGGTAGCGCTTGAACTACCATCGATCAGCGTCCTCCGCGACTCCAATGTCGACCCATGCACCGCCTTCAAGAAGTCAAAGAATTCCTTGTGTTGGCGGCGTTGGCGTAACATTCCATCTGCTTCGCCCTGTCCGTCCACCATGCATTTTTCATGCATGCATGCATACGTGTTTGGCGACAGCCGTTTTCGGATTTGCGTGTCACTGTGGCCAGCCACAGGACGCCTGCGCCTACAGAGGGACCATTGGTGGCTTGCGCTGCACCACCCACAGCTCCACTCGCACACACCCCATATCCAGTGTAAACCCGAAGGAGTAACAACGGGGGGCGTGTGGATGGGAGCCAGGTCTCTTCACGGAGCCGGCCCACACTCCTGCACAGGCAAACACATGCATGCTGTATTTGGGAATCAAGCGCACACAAGGTGTTGGCTGGACCGTAGTCCGCTCTACACCGAGTGCATGGAACCTCTCTTTGATGTTAATACGGCCACAAGGATCGTGTACCCCGTCCTCTCCAGCAACGACCAACTGTCTCCTGGAGCCAGTAGAGACAGGGTAGTGGGTAATATACAAGTAGGCACCCTTTCATCATGCACATCAATCGCATCCACACGCGGGATGTCAAACAACAGCCAATCACTTGAAATGACATTATCAAATAAAATATCTGTTAAATCATACGGCTTTTGAGATCTAAGTCTTCCCTACTTTGGTAAATAAAGTAAGTTGATTAGCATCAGATCCGGGTTAAGTACGAAATTCCGAAATTTTTTTTAAATGTCTACAAACGCAATAAAGTTAATGAGGGTAAGCACGATTATGGTAAGCAACGTGGCCAGTTAATAGACGATTATTCTGGTATGTCGAACAGACCTGCGTAAATGACCAAGTTTAAGTGTAATTTGGTTATCCAATCTGTAGTGAAGAAGTCTGATTAATGCAACATCGGCCACAGCATGGGGCATGTTGACAACAGAGGCAACAAAACATCAAACTGTGCTTTAGCTCGATTTCTGCTTGGATCGATCGCATTCGCCGTTGACGATACTAGCGTCTATAGCGTGATTATACACGGGGTGTTTAACCAGTTTCAAATAATGATACCGCTTAGAGAATATCAAGGAACGGTAAACGAAAACCTGCATTAGCTTTACTGTGTCGCCGGATATCACACTTCGTGGAAGTTTCAGCAAAATGCAATTAACGAGATTTATGCTCGGTGATCCGCAACTTTTGAGCCTGTGTTCCTAATCACAATGCACCAGTCTTATGGAAGATGGCCTCACAGCGTTAGAACCAAAACCTAAATGTTACACCAGATGAAACGTCGGGTTGAAAAAATTGAATTGCATACCCAATTGGCTCTAAATTCCTTTTTATGTCCTGTCATCGAAACTTATTGACTGGTTACTTGTCACAGCATCTAGTAGGCGAAGCTACGCTGTTTTAACTCGTAATTGTCATTGTGCGGGAATTGCACGTGGATTCCCTGCTTAAGTTCTCACTACCCCTGTTGGCATATCAGTCGCCAATTGTTGTAGCCTGACGGGATACCAGTACGTGAGGACATGGCCGGTAGTGTTTTGTATAGTCAGTGCACGTGTCCACCAGCTGGACAGTGGCAGGTAAGTTACATGGCGCATGAATCATAGGTGATTCGTTGACCAGTTAAATGGTCGTGTTGATTGCGGGTACGCACCGGTACTAGGTGCAGGCCACACGATTTGAGCCTACCTTCCGCATACGACAGCCTCTTCCCTAAGGTGCTTGTTAGGGTTGCATCATTAGTCCGACAGATTACTTCCGCATGGGGACGCGATAAAGGGATTTTGGATACACCCTCCCAGTTGTGAAGAACGTGATATTAAACCCCGCTTCTTGAATACTGTACTCGAGCGGAGAGTTCCTATACGGCCTTTGTCAGTGACCAGATTGGATACTCGTAATCGTTGTCTTAAACAACTAACTCAGATGTAGGTAACCACTTCCTAAATACCCCATTGCTTGGACGGTCACCAGCGAAGTGCGAGGGAAAATGAGCTTCTCAGCAGAGTTGTAACGTGTCGCGAACATTGAGACAGCGGCAACATGCCTAAACCCACTTTTAAGCCACAGACTGAGATCATGCCAAACAGGGGTATCAGAACAGCGGCAGACCCAAAAGGCAGTCAAATCCGGAGAAGAAACGAAGTAACATAAAGAACCCGGTGTCATTTCCAATGTACGTGGTGTCCATAGCTGACGGACAAGCTCAATAATTCAGCATGGGATGAAGAGTTGCTAGAGTGAACGAAAAGACACAAATGAGCCAATATCATCACTATCCGTGCATACTGCATGCCCTTGACCGGCATGGTTGTTATTAATGTAAAGCTTGTGTTTGTGTGTTAACTATGACTAATTATGAACATAACGTGTGACTTCCTACTGCATGGTTTGTTTTTACCTTGCTTCAGTGTTCTCTTACTTACCTGTTGTCTGACCATTTACTTTATCCCTACCTCAGGCTCTGCTATCGCCATGGCTTTCAACCCAAACGTCTTTGTGAGACACGCCTTTGCAACCGACTCCGGTCCAACTGACCCACCGATTATTCCCCATGCGAGTAGTCGCCAAGAAGAAGACGCTCGATACCAACTGATTTGGCTGGGACTACATTATTTGGAAGTGGAAAAGAAGCTGTGCACTGTCGAATCAAATAGCGTGATCTGCTCATCGGCTCCTCTGAGGCCGAAATTTCTGCCGCCGGATGCAAGATATGGAACTACATCTCAAATAGTGCAATCACTGGGTTATGCGAGGCCCATGCTGAATGCCGAAGGCGCTCCGGAAGGTTCCAGAATGAGCTCTCCTTTGGATGGTGCCACTTGGAAGTTTGTGGGGGACAGGGAAATTCAACTCCGGCACCTGACCAATCCAGCTAACCACCAAGGGTTACTTTTCACAGAAAAAGAACCGTTTTTGCTATCACACAAGGCGTCGCCACAGAAAAACGTGGAATCAAAACTAATTGAGGAAGTAGATACGCAAGAAATTAAGACAGGAGAGATTAAGTTTGCCAGCGAAAGAATAGCATGGCACGCTGAAGTCATGTCCGCTGCCAAAACGGATGGACCCAATCAACGCCCCAATCAGCTAAAGATAACGTTCGATCTTCCCGGAGTCACTTCGGGATCTCAGTGTGATCTTGATGTGACAGAAGTAAGTCCATGGAAATCCGATGATTATGCTTCAAACTTTGGTTGAGGGGGACAATGGCTGCCATTTCCAATGCGTGATGCAAAATCACTACTGTGCAATGCGTGCACTCTGCACAGACGCATCAAGGTTGAATTTGAACGTAGTCCTAGTTGTACCAGGTTTACATGCCACCTTTCTCCGTCATGCAGTTAAGAGTACTGCCGTGAGTAATCCTGTGGATACGTCGGAAAGCACAGTGTATGATCATTGTTGTATCCACTAGGCTACCTTGACCTTTGATAGTCAAACTATACTTTGTGTGTGCATTCTCTTAAACTGGAAATCTGTATTGAATTGTCTTTCTCAAGAACTGACGCTAGCCGTATGTATCGTGTGACGATGCCCTTAAAATTAAATTCTTCATTCAAATCTCATGATGAAGCAATCTTCAACTGTGATTGGTTGTGCCAACTCACAACATTTCTCAAGATACTAAAGCATGAGTAATAAATGTGTGTTTGGCAGTAGAGCCCAGTGAGACATATGCTTGGACGTAGATGCAGTCTGATAGGAAGTTCGAGCACTGTGCCACAATCTCAATTAAGCGTAATTACCCATACCGGTCGCTAAATAGGCCAATTCCTCGCCTACTTGAGTAACTTCTGTCGAAGAAGTTTGTGAGTCGGCATTCGTGACATATAATCACGCTAAGGAAAGCTAGCTCCTCAAGCTTGTACTAGCAAGATGAAGTGACCTATGCTGTAGGAGATCAACCGGTTTCTAACTATGAACATACGTGTTACTTCGCCCCACTGGAGCTTGGAGATGGTATAGGTGTTGATCGCGTTCGACCTTGAAATGAGGAAGATTCAAGGGTTTTATCGGCGTCTTGACAACAGGTATTTGACCTCATCACCCATGCAGAGGCGTAGCAAGCGGGCGGGGGGAGGCGCGATCCGCTCGGGGCGGCAGGTGACAGGGGGCGTCATTTTTAATACCGTTACTTGTTAGATACCAAATATAAAGAGCAAAATTTCCAGACAAGTTGAAGATTGAATATTTTAATGTATACATAAAAATATCTTTAGTCCATGTGTCACACATGTGCAAACGTTCGCCCCATTGAGCTCCTTACTTTTCACTTTGTGGTCACTTTCATGCCATTTACCTAAGTGCCCCAAGGGATCAACTATTCCATCACTTTATCCTGGGTCAATTGCGTGGCCTTCGCGCGCGTATTCCGCCCTCAGTCAGGGCAAAGAGTTTGCCACCGCCCCGGGGCAACAAAAACAGACGCTAGGCCACTGCACACACGCTTCAAAATGCGGTGCGTCCACCGGGTCGGTTCATACGTTCGAAAAATTTCGGAGAGACACTGACAGGTGCGGAGTACATGAGAGGTGTTTTGAAAGCAGGTTTCCTCTCAGTAACATTCCGAGCGGCGTGGAGACGATGACGCCAGTTCACCACGAAATTCGTTGCACCATGTGCACCTGCAACTTAGGCGCAACGTAGGCAGTTGCTATCAAAGACTAGAGGCGATTAACAACTGTTTGAAAGTGCACCATACCACTCTTCGGCGAAGTTGTCACTTTGGGCAACGGAATTGATCTGAACGGCAAAGGAGTTGTGCTGAACAGCATACAAGTTGAGTATTTACTCAATTACTTTGAGCCGTGCGTGCGCCGCTCACTTGTGCAGGTGTGCGTGCATAGCATGGCACCTTCAGCCACTAGGACCTCAGACGCACTAAGTTATAGGGGTGCAGGTGGGATGCTTCAGCTCCTACCAGGTACAGTGTCGGTGGCCGATGCACCATGTGGGCCTGTGTTTCTCTGTCCAAGGAAGCGATTCCCACCAATTAGAACGAGAGTAGGGATTTGAACGACGATTGGGTTGGTATAACAAGCCACAGCCAAATAAGTTTGCCGTGTGATTTTGAACGTGCATTTCACCTAAACGCAATGGTTGGTTTGTAAGTTCGGCGCTCGAGGGAGGTGAAGAATATCACACTGAAAGCGTACGAGGAAGGAGACGATTGGAAGCAGGTCGCTTGCACACTGAAGGTGCGCGTGAAAACTTGCCACAACTGGATACGGGTGTATGAATCGACAGAACCGGTGGGGAAGCACGGGGAGTCCGTCGCAGAGCACTGGGAGAAAACCACATCGACTCTCTGGTGGAGTGGGTTTCTGCGGAGCCTAGCGTTAACCTTGAAATCCTTCGTTTGTGGTTGAAGGCGGAGTTCGAACTTTCAGTAAGTACCAGCACCGTCTCACGATACTTGGATGGTAGACTGATAACAATGAAGAAACTGTACACCATTGCGGAGTCCATGAACACGCTGGAGAACAAAAAGCGACGCAGGTCATTCGTTTTGCAGCTCGTGGATTACGAATTGAAAGGAAGGCAACCGGTGTGGATTGATGAGAGCAACTTCAACTTATTTTGCTCCCGCACTCGTGGCCTCTCACGACGTGGTAGTCGAGCGCAGCGTACAGTGGCAAACAGCCGGGGACCGAATGTTCATCTTGTCGGCGTCATGACAAACAGCGGCTTGATATTGTGTTCACTTCTGAGAGAAAGTTACAACAAGCAAAGGTGCGCTCAGTGGCTGCGAAAAGTGCTTGATACCAACGGAGCAGGGTTTGTGGAAAGGTGTCTTTTGATTTGTGACAACGCGCCCTGTCACACACACCTGGAGCACGTTGTCCTGGAGGAACCGTACCGCTCTGGGAAACTTCTACGCATTGCGCCATACTGTCCAGTTCTCAATCCCATCGAGGGCATCTGGAGCATAATAAAGGCTCATGTAAAGCAGGCAATGAGGGAACGGCACTCCGAGATGTTCCTGGGCGATCCTCAAGGCATTATGAATAAAAGCGAGTGGCGGATTCGCTTATTGGAGCACGCGGTGTCTGAAGCACGGGCCTTAGTGACGCAGCAGCACTGCGAACAAATGGTTCAGCATGTAACTAAGAATTATAGACACGTTGTTCATTTGGCCGATTTGTAAAACATTCTTTTAGCAGTAAACTGTCTGTTCTAAGCGAGTGCTCTTCTTACTTTATTATGATGATGGTTCAGAGTGCACTTTATGCCCCGCTAGAAATAGCCAGTGCTCTAAAATGTTTCGAAATACTGGTAGCTCGGGTTGATGAATCAATTGTTCATTTGTTCTCCGAGCTTGGCGGTTTTCTCGCAAACGTTTCACCGCGGAATTTTCTGGACGCCGCGAAATATTCTGCTACCACGCGCTGGATCCTGCCTTTTCTCTGGAATTACTGTATTTTACATGTGTTGCTGTGTTAGTTGTGCACCAAACTTTTTAGTTTCGTGTGTTCATCAATCCGTGAAAGTTTCGTGGAATTCCGCTTGATATCTTCGGAGATCTCAGTGATTTACGGCTGTGCCCGTCATTTTGGAATTCGTGATCGACATCTTGCTCGTCCTCGTGCCTGAAAAAAATACAACAACTGTGCCGAATATCATGCAACGACGTATCTGCTCTTCAGCTAATTGCGGCAAAGCCCTTAAAATGGGTATAACGTGCCGAAACTGCAGTGGCTCGTTCCACCCGAGCTGTATAGGAAAGTCCGCCCAAGAAGCAAGGCAAATAAACAAGGCAGCTGACGCATTTTGGTTTTGTCCAACTTGCCAGTTAACTCCAGTGGTCGGTTGCTTATGTGCACTCATGGAAAGGTGCGATACTTTGAATGCGACAATCGCTTATTTGTCGAACGCCAGGCTTGCACCACCGGCCGCGAATATGGCCATGATTGTACCACAGTCGGTCAAAGAAAGCTCCACCTCGAGGCCGAAAAAAGGGCTAGACGCTCAAGCCGCGCTGCAGCCTCAGTTTCTCCAAATCCCCTGCCTCACTCAACTCCCAAAATCGGACGAACATCCAGAGTACTGATGTCCACACCTTTGAGTCACACGCCCCACCTCCATTCAACAGCAACCGCGGAAGCTCCGGGGCAAACCTCTTCCGCCGTAGAGAAAAGTCGGGCGTCGTACGCCTCAGTCGCCTCCATGCATACACCGGCTAAATTACCTCCGACTCCGGTGGCCTCACCAAGCAACAGTAAGTTGACCAGACTCCAACAACCAAACAATCCGTTTAACACCGTGTCTGTAAGTCATGGCAAATCTGCATCCAACGCAAGGAGCCAAGGCGCGTTAACCGTTGTGTGTACAAATGTTCCTGAATCACAGGCGAGTACAATAAAGGGGAAGCTGTTGGATGATCGTAATCAGTGGAAGTCTATATGTACTGCGATTGGCATTTCGGTTGAACCTGCAATGCTGAGACGAGTCACACGTCATCCAAATTCAGCGCACTACGGTGAACCCCGACTTCTCCGGGTGACACTAAACTCCACCAAGGACACAGAGGCAGTCCTACTATCGTCCAACAGGCTTCGTCATTCATCACTCGAGGCGCGCATACTTCCTGATATCCCCTGGAACGAACGTCCGAAAAAGATGAGCAACCGTGAGGAAGTTCGTAAAGCCGAGGCGAAACGGACGATAATTGTGTACGGGGTTCCTGAGCTCCAAAACTCAACCTCTGATGCAGCGGATGCACATGACCGGGAGCAATGGAGTTACATCCGCCACGAAATCTCCCTCAATAATATCATCGCTAAGCGGTTGACCAGGATTCCATTTTCACCCAACTACAAAGGGAACGGTCCCAGACTTATGAAGGTGGTGCTTCAATCTGAGTTTATGTTACCGCTCGCCTTGGAAAACTGGTCCAAATTCCGCATGAAGCTGCCAGCGGAAATTCGATTAAAGGCATCAGGTACGCTGCCACGGATTACCAACGACTCACGGGGAGCGATCAGATTGTTGAACCATCCACTCATGCAACTTTGTGAAGGCATAGATTTATCGACAAGCACAATATCCCACGAAACACGGCTGAACACGGGGGACCAGCAGGGCCCGGAAGGCCGCGTTCAGTCGTCTAACCGAAAACAAACTCAAAGGCAAACGTCACCCCAAAAAGCGGTCAATGGCCGACCCGTTAACGGTCGGCACAAACTCCATTCCTACCA